TTGAGTTTGGGTGCTAATTCTGCTGTTGGCAGCAGGTACGTTTCCATTCATCTTTCTGTTCCAGAAAGAGGAAGGTCCCCCTGAGGTAGTATGTGGCAAACAGCAAAGGGACGTGTTTGTCCTTTGCTCCCAACTTACAGTTCTGAGGGAGACTCCCATTACATCCTGTCCTCTGTTGACTCAGTCTCCCTACATGAAAGCTTGAGCCATTCAGCAGGTGGCTCTGAGCCTTATGACCCCTTGCACCAGATGTCGGGGACTGTGTTCTAACATGCCTGGGACAATAATTTTAACACGCTGTTGTCTAACACAGTTCCCTAGTAAAAAACGGGTAGACTCTCAATCACTTAATCTCATGTTAGAAAATCCTGCTTGTGTCCTTTAAGAGCCACAATTCTCAATTACCCGGTGAAGGTAACTGTTAAGTCACCGTGAGACACTAACTAGGAATGTTCCTGGACAGCAGTTTGACAGCTCTTCAGATATTAAGGCCACAAAGCCAGGTTTCTCTGCACCTCTGCTCTCTGGCCTCAATTTGAAAAGTTTGATTTTATTGTCTATTTATTTCAATGTCCCAGTTGTCATCAGGCAGCAAGTCTGCTGAGGGACACCTGGCCACGTTGGCGGACCACTGGCTCCCAGGGCAGACCTCCCTGGCATTGGGGTTGACAGGCATGCTTTCTGTCCTCTGTAGACATAATATCACATTAGACCCGTCAACCATGACAGCCATTACAGGGTGAGTAGCCCTTATCCAAAATGCTTGGGACCAGAAGTGTTTCAGATTTCAGATAGTTTCAGATTTGGGAATATTTGCATATACATGATGAGATATCTTGGGGCTGGGTATCACAACTGAAGGGGGCTGGGAGGGTCTTTTTTCCCTTGGGGACACTAAATAAACTGTGTCATGAGCCTGTGTTTTGACTGTGATCCGTCACATGGAGGTCAGATGTGGAATTTTCGACTTGTGGCATCATGTCAGCACATAAAACGTTTTAAATCTTGAAGCATTTTGGATTTTGGATTAGGGATGCTCAACCTCTATGAAGGCACTTCAAAAAGTTCATGGAAATCTTCATACAACCTAAAATGTATGTTCTCTCCCGAGTCTCCAGGGGACAGCATCGTTTCTTTTCAAAAGAGCTAGAAAGTAGAGCAAATGGCTTAGTTTTAAGGCTTTATTATACAGACATCATCTCACGGCTTGTTTACCCATGCAAGTTTCTTAATGCTCTGAGGCCTGGTTCCCTGACAGGTAAAAAGGGAATGGTAGTAAAAATGAACATTGACTGAATGCCCCTGTGCTGAGCACTTTCCCAGGATGGTGTCACGAATTCTCTGGAAGCCCTTAGAGGCAGGTGCCGGGTCCCTCGGCTCACTGAGTGGCACAGCTGCACAGCTAGGAGTCCATGCTCTGACCGCCGCGGCCCACGCCCCCACAGTGAACCACCTCCCACCGAGGAGTTGCTGTGGGGATGGAATGAGGTAATGTCTAGGAAATGCTTAGCTGGTCTGGCTCAAACGTCCATCCAGCAGAGCTTGCTGCTACCATGAGAGGGGGGTTCGGTCCCCTAGGAGAGCTCTGAGGGGATATGCAGGGAAGGAGCCAAGGGGACATGAACGGGGTGGCCCTGAGCAGGTGTCAGGTGCGGGAAGAGGGCCTGGACACTCAGGTGTGGTGTGGGAGTGTGCGCTTGCAGGCCACCGTGGTGCCGAAGCACAGGCCCTACGCTGACGTGCAGGTGACCAGTCCCAGGCTCTGTCCTCAGCCCTCTAGAGCCTTGTCTTGCCTTCCTTTTTCAAAACCAGAGTTGGAGATCCCCACCCTCTGCCTAGTGGCCCAACCAACACTTAATTTGCGTTTTCCTTTGACTGTTGTTTAACACTTACGTTTGTTTGTTGTTTAATGTATGTATGCAATCTCTTTCCTTTTAGAAACAGACAAATGATAAAATTGTTCTCTGGGAGCTGGGAGGGGTTGGGACTAGCAGCACAGCGCCCCGCTGTGTTCAGGAGAGGCAGCCGGGCCTGCAGTCTGCCGGCCACACGCCGGTGCAGGCAGCTCTGATGGTCACGCGGTCCTCACCTTCTCTTTTCTTCTCTGCCATGTCTCGTTGTTTTAAAAACATGCTCTTTTTAAAAAGCCCTCAGAACCACGCCCCTGACCACCATTAAACCATCAACTTAATCACCTCTTCAAGGCCCCTCCATTCAATTACAATAATGAGACTTCCCACCCTCTTAACAGTCACAGTGGAGACCAAGCGTCCAACACATTAAACTTTTAGTGGGACACAATTCAGTCCATAATAGTGGCATTGAGCATTTGCCTCCTCAGTGTGTGCCTCGGTGTCTGTGGGGGTTTGGGGCACAGGGTCTTCATGATGGTCTACCCCAAGTCTTTGATTTCATCTTTGGTAATAGCACCATCCGGGATTGCTGTGTATGAGCTGTTTAATTTAATGTTTCCTTTGCCACTCTCTCATTTTCCTGGATAATCTGATGTTAAATTGAACTTGAACTTCTCTTGAAGTCTCTCTTGAAAGCAGAGGATTTTTACATGTGATCCTTTGGTTTTAGGACTCAGCCAGAAACACAATAAATTTTTTTTTAAATGTTAAGAGAGGTCAATTCAGTGATAGAGTGATGATAATTCACAAAGCAAGGTGGATCCCTCACTGCCGTCCTTCCAGAAATAATGACAAAGGTCGATGAGCCCCATTATAGAAATGACAAAATCCAAGCCCCAGAGGTGCACCTTGCCCAGAATCTGGGGTGCAAGGGGCAGTATGAGAGTCAAATGGATACGTGTTTATGTGTCAACACATTGTGCACATGCTTAAAACACAGAAAGACGACCTGCAGTCCCCACCTTAAAAGAGAACCTTGCACACTGTTTTTACTGTTGTCGCTTTCAGCCACGCCAGCCTTATGCAGTGACTGAGTCACACGGCTGGTGTACAGCCAAGCTAAGATCCCTCACTTCCTGGAATGTTGGGGTTTCTTGCTCTGGTTCACAGTGGCCTTCAAATCTGCACACACTATTGTCCACGTAAAGATTAAACCTCCCAGTCACCCGTGCCATGACTTCATCTGACACCAAGGGTGTTATTAACCATGATTGTGTGTGTCCTTCCCCCTCCCTCTGCCACCCGCTGACAGGACCACCCACACTTAGATCACCCAGCAACTCACTGGTAGGGAGTCCTTGAGATTAAACCAAATTGCAATAGTGGTTTACCCCAAAAGAGGGGACGCAGGGGCAGAAGCAAGAAACCGTCTCTTCCTCTGGTCTGTTTCATCAGAAAGTCATTTGTGCCTTTTGGTAGGAAAACAGTTTTGGGGAACATGCCTCAGTCCAGCCAACAAACAGGTATTGTACTCTGTGCTGTCACTGTGGTCGTCACTGGGGACTCGAAGACAAAGAAAACACAGTCTTCTTTCCAGGTTATCCCAAACAGTGCTCTAATAAATCACCAAGGTGTCTCTTCTCTTTGAAGCCAAGCGTGTGAGGTGAAGGAAGCGAACAGTGCACCAGATGTTGAGAGTAACTGGGGGAGGCGCTGCAGACTCTCCCAATGATTTGTCCGTTCGCTTGTGGCTGAAGTGATAAAAGAATGATCCTCCCCAAGACTGGGAGAAGAGCAGGAGCCTGTGAGGAGACAGAGCTGGTGTCCTAATGGCAATCGCTTACATGGTACACCAAAAACCACTTAGAAGTGTCCGAGTCATGTTCTCTGGAACAAATAGAAGAGTTTTTCTACTTTTTGAGATGGGAGGAGCAAGCTTATTTCATAGACTCATGAAATCTGCAGCAGGGCTGGAACGTAGCGCTTGCCCAGCACAACCCTTTGCTTTACAAATAGGGAAACAGAGGCAGGGGGTGAAGAGGGGAAGCTAAGTAACTTGCCCCGGACTCATAGACAGTTGGGGCAGAACTGGGTCCATGCCCTGCCCTGCCAGTTCTTTTACCCCCAGTTCACGCCCTGAATCACTGAAATGACATAAAAATATGCATAGGCATATATTAATGATAGGCCTGTAATTGGCTTTTAAAGGACGCTAGGCACATTGTAGTGGACAGTTCTTGGACACTGAGTTCAGGGAGGACAAGGAAGCCTTTAAGCACAAGGATTCAGTGGCCTTTGAACTGATGTATGGAGCCCCAGGGCCATCACAAGTGGACTCTGCCCCGCTCCGTGCGGAGCCGCTCTGCTTGTATAGAGTATGCTTTGGAGTAAGATTGCTTTTAAGATGAATTAATCTGAAAACTGCTATTCTATAAAGAAATAATTCAGTAATGGTGATACATTTACAACTTTTCATCATCAGAAATAATAGGATCTGAAGTTGTGTTTCTCTTTTTAAATTTATGGACCCAGAAGTATGCCCCTTCACTGCCTCTGTCAGGATGAATCTGAGGGACCCCAGGTGGCCTGGGGAGCTGCCGTCACCGTCTTTTCAGAAAGCCCCTCCTGTTTGGTTTCTCCCCTCAGAGGGATCTCCGGGCAGATGTCTCTCCTCCAGCTCTTGGGCTGCTGGAAGGCCTAAGCAGCTGCTGGTCACAGCTCAAGCTATCACTGTATGGCTGTCAGCTGAGTTCTGCTTGTTCTCGAATCCTCTTCACCATGAAGGGCCCCCGCCCCCGCTGGGGCAGGCATGGGACATAGCACAACACCTGGAACGTGGAAAACACTAAACAAGTAATTGTGGAATTAAAACTTCCTAGGGAAAAGCCTGTCTTTGGTTCTGTCTGTTTAAAGCAGCATATTTTTGAGGCTGCGCACCTTATCCTATGGCTGTTGTAAGGGTTAATTTTCGTGATGTGACTGCTGTTTTCTACGTGCATCAGAGGAAAATCATTTAAAAGGAAAAAAAAAACAATTAGGGAATCAAATAGACTTATTACTGCAATGTTGCTCTAATAAAGGTGATATTTTGGTGCTGATTTATTTTGAATCTGCTGAGTATCTGTACCTCTTTGTTCTTTCTTTCAGAATGCTAGAAGATGACCTTAAGCTAAGTAGTGACGAAGAAGAGAATGAACAGGTAAGATTTTTGTTTACGTTGCTATTCTTTGGATGCTGGATGTGACACAGATACTACTGACCTGGGGGACCGGGCTGGCTGCTAACTGAGCCATACAAACTCTGAATTGTGGTGCTCTACGATGCTGGGCTTTCCTCCGCTAATTATGAGCTTTTCTGCTGTTGGGCCAGTCTGTTAAAAGAACTTGGCCTTAATTTCCCTTAAAACTTTCAGTGATTTTTATTGGGCCGGCCCGGTGGCGCACTGCTACAGTGCGCCGCTTGGGAGCATGGTGGCGCTCCCGCCGAGGGTTCGGATCCCACATACAGACCGGTTCCCGCTCACTGGTTGAGCGAGGTGTGGGAGCAACACCGAGGTTTGCGATCCCGTTGCCGGTCCCGGCCCGGTATGGGCGTGACACTGAGGGTTGCGATCCGTTGCCGGACACGAAAAAAGACAAAAAAGAAAAAAAAAACTTTCAGTGATTTTTATGACATTGAGATCAACAACAGGTATTTACAAGGATGCTTACTGGGATCAGGCTTCACTGTGAAATTGAGCCTTTTTTGTTTGTTTTTTGCAAAGCTAACCGGCCTTCTGGAGACCAAACATGTGACCTTACACTCACCAGCATGCAATAGGCAAGCTGTAACATTCAATATTGATAAGTCTTATACAGATATTATTAACATTGAGAAGGAGCAAATGTAGAGGTGAGCTAAAAAGATGAATAAAAAAATAATCATGCCCAGTAGAGGCTGTTTGTCTTAAATGATAAATGTGCTCGAAATATTCTCCCCTGATGTTGATTTATTGGCTTGAGACGTTAGTCAGGGGGGTTATAAATACTCTTTGGATCAGTCAGTTAAGATGAAAAAATATCCACTTATCATTCATCTCTTTCACTTCTGCATTTCAGGAAATGTTTATATTTTAAAAGCTAGTTGGAAAACACTATAGACACATTTTCCTACGCTTCTGTTTCCTTTTTCTCATCACTTGTGTTTTGTCAAGTTTGGATAAATGTGATGGGTAGAAAGACAATTCAGAGAGTTGTTTTTTTATGTTGTTTTTACATGCGATATGGAATACTTACGCTGTTCAATTGATTTTGGAATAGTGAACTTAATACCAAGGTATTATGAAATGCTGTGCAGGTGATTCACTGACTAGACATGCAAATACAAATGATGCACAGAGAGAGCATGCAGAGGTGAAATAAAAGTCCAAGGAAAAATTCCAGGGGGTATCTGAGCAGAACGTGGCTGCACGGTCACAGAAGAGGTTACTCTCCTTATGAGAGAAGCTGAGGTGCCCAAGAAGTGAGAAGAGCTGGAGGAGTCTGGAAAGCAGATTGGCCAGCAGAGAAAACCCCAGAGAAGGAAGGTTAACAGGGCTAGGAGGGCCGCGTGCGCTTCACGTTTTCTAGAGATTGATTAACTTCTTTCTAGGTGTGCATGCCTGGGCAGTCAGATATCCACAACACAGCAATTTTAGCAGAAATGTAGAGCAGCTTCACCCTAATATTAGTTCCTCATCTATGTGACTATAAGAAAATGACTTCATCTCTTTGTGATTTTTCCCGTTGAGAGGCTTAGATAGGTACATTACAGATTAAGTCATATCAAATGTGGAAATTGTGTATACCTTATATTAGAAAAAGGATTCACAGACTATTTCATTCGGCAAAACTTTAATTTGGAAATAATTTCCTGAGCTATTTCCAGGAAATATTTCCAATGAAAACTCAATTTTTTAAAAAAAACTTACTATCAGTGATGTACTATACACATTCTCTAAGGCAGGAGGAATTTTAGTTTGCTCATTTTGTTTTATTAGCT